AGATTGAGATGTCATCTAGGTAACAGACAACAAAATCATCTAAAAACTCCCAAAAGACATCATTCATTAGATGTTAGATTGTTGTGGGTACATTTGTAAGTCCAAAAGGCATGACGTTGTATTTGAAATGTCCATACCTTGTTCGAAGTGCAGTCTTCCATTCATCTCCTTCTTTGATGCATACCAAATTGTATGCTCCCCATAGATCTATTTTTATATAGATCTTAGCTTGATTCAACTGATCAAGAAGTCCAAATATCAAAAGTAGTGAATACCTATTTTTTATAGTGATTTTGTTGAGTCCTCGATAATCAACACACATCCGCAATAATCCATCTTTTTTCTTCATGAATAAAATTAGAGCTCCTGCTAAAAATTTGGAATGGTTTATGAAGTTCTTAGCCAAATTTTCTTCAATGTATTCCTTGAGTTCAGTCAACTCATTTTGAGATAAATTGTAGATTGGTCCAAATGGCGATTTTCCTCTTTCTTGAAGGTCAATTGAACAGCCATAGGAACGATGTTCTAGAAGAGTATCCACATTTTTTTTCTCAAATACATCTTGAAAATCTTGATATTGGCTTCAAATGCCACTTGAAGTCTTTCCACCAGTAGAAACAGGTGTGGCATAAATGACACAAGATGACCCTTCTTTTGTACCATGTAAGAAAGCACTTGCACCTACAAATATTGGTTCAATTATACTAGACTTATAACTTTTTACTTGATTAACTACACTCTTAGTTATACTTTCAGCAAAGTTAAGACTACAAGAAGTCCAATCTATTTAGGATTATATTTTTCTAGCCATGATAAATCTAAAATAATTGGATTAGAAGGAGATCTAATGATATTAAATATTATAAAGTTACTATGACCATTAGTTACTATTTTTATAAGAAAGATTTCATGAGTAACATCTCTTGAAGACAATGGACGACCATTTATGACTTCTACTTGAATATGTTTAGTTTTCTTTACTAAAAATAAGCTATATCTTTTAGTAAATTTTTCATCTAAGAAACATGCTGAGGCTCATGAATCTAGCAAGGCAAAGACTTTGAGATGTTTAGATCCTAGAATAACATTTATCATAAAACATGAAGAGGGTTCTAAGGAGAGGATAGGACCTTCACTAGACATTGTACAAGGTTCCAGCTGCACGGTCCCTATTATAGCTGGACAAATTCATTTTTTGACATGCCTATCATTTGATCGTCGTACTCCTCATTTTATGATTGCGTTGCTTCTTTGGATAATGTTGAGTAGTGTGCTTAGGTTCTCCATAATATAAGCACAATCTTTTTTGATGACAACGAGTCTTTTCTTGCTAAGTAAGAGGTTTGAAACGTACTACATCAATTTGCATATCCTCTACTTTCAAATGTATGTGTTGAAGAGATGTTGGTATTGCTATTGAATTATAGTTACATTGAAGTCCACTTGTATGATTCTCAAATCAGAATTCAAAGAGGTGATTGTTATACTTCACAGCAAAGTCAATTGCTTGACGCAATGTTTGAGGATCAGGTAAGTTGATCATTAGATTTTTTTTTATCTCATATTGTAATCTATAGAAAAATTGGCTAATAAGTGCAGCATCATCCCACTTGATATCAGTTGCAAGTTATCAAAATTGTAAAGCATACATCATTATTAATCAATTGCTTTGTCATAAAATACGGATCTTATTGGTTGAAACACGAATTACATCATGTTCTCCATACATGGATCGAAACTCTACCAAAAAAACATCTAGATTATCCAATATTGGATCTCATCATTTAAGAAATGCTAATGCCATGATAATGTTGAACCTCAAAGAAGCGTAGTAATGAATCTAACTTGTGATCTTGGAGTTGGATAGCTTTGGGGTTGAAGTTCAATCACAAATTGTACTTGATTGATAAATCCTCTAAACTTTGATCTAGTGCCATCAAACTTCTTGGGTAGGGTAATTCTTGGTTCTGTAACATTGGAAGGACGTTCCACTATAGGATGAGGAATATGATTTGGTGCAGATGTTGAAGCAGCTCAAATCATTTCTATATCTCTACTTCTTGCCAATCTTATTGCTCCTTGTAGAGGTAAATTGAATTGATGCATCACAAGCATTAACTCCTTCAATTGTTCTTGCATTTATGCCATTTCACTCTTCATTTCAGTAAGTTCTGCCATGATAACACTTAAAAAAGAGAAGATGTCTAATATTGCTCAAGACAAATAGAAGAGAGGACTTGAGAACAAAGAAAATACTAAGAATAATATCAGTTTAAAAGAGGGTAATCCACAACTTTTAATATGCTTATGTCTTATCAAGAAAAAGGGATAATCCACTCTTAACCAAGATTAGACAAAGCTCTGATATTGTAAGTGAACTCTTGTCAATCGTTCAAGGACAAGAACATGATAAAGATAAACAAACAAGTGAGACTTCTCTCAAAGAAAGATGACAAAATAGAAATAATTTGATATATATATATATATTAAGAAAGAAATTGGAATGGCTATTGCCAAAAGACAAGAAAACTAGAGACCTTTGAAACTAAATTGGAAGCAAGAAAGGAATTGACAATAGTGAAGAGGGCTTCACACTTGTTTCTATATATACTATCTAATTATGGGCTACATGGCGACGTTCTATAGGACCTCCAATATGTGTTGACTTTGTATGATACATGCCTTGACTTATAAGGCAAGTTTTTCTACGTATGGCCTACATAGTTAGTTTGGTCTTCAAGCTAACAACATGTATGGCACATGGCCAACTTGTTGATCACGTTTCTAATTCAAAAAGTCAATTAAAGACACCTATAAAGTCAAAGTAGTGTCTATGAAGCTTCTATACCAAATACTATAGAATTAACTTATTTTTATCTACTTTTACTTACTTCTACCTATTTACACATGTAATATTGGCTTACATGTGTATATCCATGATAGGACGTTATTAGATTGTTTGATCTATCAATAATATTCCATACTTAGACACATAGACCATGTGATTGTTTGATTATTATTAATGTCTTCCTAACTAAATTTTATAAATGCATATAAGATGCTATTAAGTATAAATTTTATTTTAAATAATATTATCTAGTATCAAGACTATCTTTTAAAATTTTAATACTATTACATTCTATCATGTTAATTTTTTGATAAGTGACATGTCTTTCTTGAAAATTTTCATATCAATTCTAATATGCTCTTATTAATATTGTTTATGCACCAATGTATATAATATTCTTATTATCTAAATTCTAATTTAAATGTTTTTTTATATTCAAATAGGAATTGAAATTGTTTTGCTAGAAGACTTTTAAGCTTGAAACCACATTTATTGATTTTTAAAAAGTTCAAAAATAAATTAATAAAATAAGCTTTATAAAATTTAATACTTGCATCTTAATAATACTATTATTAAATTTTAAAAATAATGTTTTAATCAAACCCTTATTTTTATCAATAACAAAAAATTCAAAATATGTTTTTTTTTTTATATATATTGACTTAACTTCACACTATCATTTTGATCTACTCAATATGAAGATTAGTTAAATAAAAAATTTAAAAAATAGAGTGCAATCTAAGAAAGAATTTAGAATTGCAATAAAATAAAATAAAATGAAGGAAAAGGCCAAAAAAAAATCGTCTAAGGAAAACATAAAATGATCAAATAAGACAAAATATATATTCAAAAACATTAAAAGAATATAGATATACTGATATAATTTCTAAAAATGCTAAATTATCAAGAATCAATAGAGATATAAATCTAACATGTGTATGTAAAGTCATCAAGCACATGATGGTGTAGAAACTTTTAAATCTAATTACATAAAGAACTACAAAGTAAAGTAATAATAATAGAAAGTGGCTTTAAAGATTAAACCACCTATTCATCACAACAAAAATAAATAAAAATACAAAAAGGTGTAATTATATTCAGCCATTTAGTACAAAATGATCTTTAGTTTAAATTGTTGTGAAATTAGATAAATATACATAGTGCAACAAGAAAGAAAGTATAGTTAAGCAAAGCACAAAAAACACTCCAAAAAAAAAAATTGAAGAGTTAAAAGCAACACTTAATTTTATCGATTATAAATATATTTCTGGCATACTTAACTAACTAAGATTTTTGTAATAATTCTTCATCACTTGTTGAAACTTTGATACAATGACTTTGATTTTTCAAGCTTTACTTTGATAGAACTTGGTCTTTGGAATTAAATTGAAATGTAAAAACTTCATATGTATTAATAAAAAATATTTATTGATTTTTTTAATATTAGATATTTAAAAATAATAAATTTAATTTATATTCATTTTTATTTTTATTGCAATGGAGTTGGTATTAAAATTATATATATATATATATATATATATATATACATAAAATATAAATACATATATATTTCTAAAAATTTCAAAAAATTTACTTATTTTGTAATATTACCTTAATATTATAATTGTATAAAAATATTCGAAAGTTTGAATTTAATAATCTAAAAAGTTCTTTGAATTTGAAAGTTTGAAATATTACCTTAATATTACCTTAATATAACAAATGTATAAAAACATTTGATAAGATTTTTTTACTTTAAATTAACATAAAAATAAATCTCAAAAATAAAAATTATATATACATGTATTGTATATGTATCTACTCTAAATAAAAATAACTAAATAAGTCTAAGATAAAATTAAAACTTGCAAAACCACTTCCACTTAATCTACACATATACCAATGTTACCATTGTATATGTTATCTGACATGAAAAATATTAAATAAGCACATATTTGTAACCCAAATGGCTCTCCTTAATCACCAACACACCAACAATACACCACCACTACAAGATTTTACACAATCTGGAGATTAATGAGGCTGAAAAGTACAAAACTAACAACAAAAACAACTTCAACCTACAACACATGAACGTCAATGACAAAGAAGCTGAACTAAACAAACACATAAACAGACGAACCAACGCACACAAGAAGGCAATGGAATGGAAGTAGAAAGAGCTAGCGAAGGAGCTAGGGAAGGTGGCATTAACGATAGGATGCAACGAAAGGCCAACGAACGTGCGACGGCGAGGGAGCGAAAGAATGCCGCCGGTGAGCGCATCACAAGCAGCCCATCCCCATTCCAGAGTGTGTTTTTGCTGCCCCTGCTTCCCGTGCTCCTCGTCGTCGTTGTCGTTGCACTCGTGACGCTCCTCTCCATCGCTGCTACTGCCACTCTCCAATCAATCATGTAAGCCCTTCTCTCCCCTTCTCTTCGCTTCTCTGCTCCTCCCACTTTGCCTCCCATCTTGCGCCACTGCTTCTGCTGCTTCGTTCCGGACTCCCCGCCTCGGCACGTTCCTGCACTCTGGAATCGGTGGAAAAGGGTGGATTGTTGTGGCTCTAGGGTGGCGGTTCTAGTCGGAGCTCGTGCACCCAGTTCGCAGCGCGGCTAGATGCGGGAGCTCTGTGGAGCCAGAATGTCGTCTTGCCGGCTTGTCCGTTTTAGGGCAGGGATGTCGAGACTGTTGGGTGCGAGGGGGAGATTGTGTTCCTGTGTGGCGCTCGCAATCCACGGTGCGTGGGCGACCGCGTAGGCGTATGTGTAGCGTGGGGTTTCGCGGACCGAGTGTTGCATCGCGTTCGTGGTGGGTTGTTTGTGCAGTGCCTCGGGTTCTAGTGTGGATGTGGTGATGGCGGAGGAACCCTAGAGTTGGTTATCGCGACGGACTGCGGCATTTCCAGTGCGCAGGAGTGGATCTCGTAGCACTGACTACAGTGCTGGGTTCGTGCCAGTCGGGCTTGGTGGAGTGGTTTCGGAGGGCAGCTGGAGTGACCTAGTTGACGAGGTTAGGGTGCGAATGCGGAGCAGCGTCCTTGTGTGAGAAAGTGTCTAGTTGTTTTGGCGGAACGAGAAGCAGAGGTGTTGCACAGTTGCGATCGGAGGTTGGCGAGAGTAAGAGAGGCGTGGTAGTGTAGGTGCAAGCGCTCCGAGGCTTGTGTGAGCTGGGATGTAGTCCGGTATGCATTTTCCGGAGGCGTATGTAGAAGTGGACATCGGGTGGTATGCGAAGTACGTGGAGTGGTGGATTGATCCGTTTCTCGACGAGTGACGACAGCGCGAGAGGTCACGCGGTGGATGTACCACATGGTTGGATGCAACGGAGCGCCTGGCATGGCTCTGCAACTACGGTCTCCGTGTTCCGAACGGTGGTGATGTGGTTGTGGCACGATAGAATGTTGGTGAAGGTGTAAGTGGATGCGAGGTGAAGGGAATTTGGTGTCGGATGGTAGGATGACGAGGTGATGGTGTAATATTCGGGTAGTGGGCGGCGACGCAGACTGTAAGCAGGAGTGGGTCCGTGAGGGCAAAGAGTTGTGCGTGGTGGATGACGCCACGGTAAGTTGGCAGCCGTGCTGATGTGTATGAGCTGAGCAGATTGAGACGGCATTGTGCAGGGGCGATGCGGTGGAAGAGAAGTCTCAGGAGATTCCAGAGGAGGTAGCAGAGGAGAAGGTGGAAGAAACTGCCGAGGAGGAAGCAGCGGAAGAAGAAGAGGAAGAGGCCCCAGTGGAGGAAGAGGAAGAGGAAGAAGTGGTGGACCCAAAGGCGGAAATAGAGGAGTCGTGCAAACCGAAGTGTGTGAAGCAGCTTTTGGCGTTGCAGGTGCGTGGTTGCCTGCATGTGTGCGTGTGTTTATGTGTTGATCGAGGAGAGGGATGTGGGGTATGGTATTAGTGGGGCGTGGACGGTCTTTCATTAGTTCCACAGCGGGTGCTAGAAGCGGGAACGGTGGAGGCTTGGTGCATGATGGACGCATGCGGCACAGGAGCTAAAGCCGTGACAGCACGGATGTGCAATGTGTGGAGTAGAGGACAAGAAGGGATGGCGGATGGTGTGGTTTAGGAGAAGCCCGAGTGAGAGTAGCAGTTGGTTTGATGGAGGGCGGCGAAAGTTGTTGATGCAGTTGGAAATGAGTTGGGCGAGTGAAGCGAGTGTGGAGGGGTGTGAGCATACTGGGGATGGGTGTGAATAGGGATGTGAAAGGTGGGCAGTGTGATGATGGCGAGCAATTTGGTGATGGTTGGTGGCGGTTGGTTGGCAGGCGTGTGAGAAGCGCGTGGAGGAGGATGAAGAGGGTCAGAAGCATTGCACAGGGCAATATTTCGATTACTGGGGTTGCATCGACAAATGCGTAAGTGTTGCTGAACTGAGAGGAGGGGAACGATGAAGTGGTGTGGTGTTGTGAGGATTGAGTATGGCATGTGAGTTGTTGGACGGTGGAGGAACGTTGAGGCATTGAGGGTTTGCAAGGGAGGAATGCGAGGTGGAAATATGTGAGAGTTCGGAGTTGGTGCGACGAGGGTATGAGTGGGTGTGTGGTGTGAGGGACGTAGTTAGTGAAAGTGATGAAGTGAGGAACTGTAGTGGCCTGAGGACGATGACGTGGATGTTGTTTTGCAGACGGCACCGAAGCTGTTCCGAAAGCTGAAGTAGGGGGTTGATGTAGCTGCGGGAGTGGAGACAGGAGGCTTCTGGCTAACGTCGAGGGGTCAGAAAGTAGAGGCAATGTCCAAATTTGGGAGCATTTAGTAGAAATGCCGAATAAAGTAGTGTAGTTTTTTGAATGGCATTGCATCAGTTTTGTTGATCTGGCTTTTGTGTATGAATGGTGTGCCGTGTGGTCTGTGTTTTATGTTTGTGAGTTACTTGAATGCGCTGTGTCTCCATGATTGTGCAGTGTGGGAGCATGGAGACTATTTTCTTGTCTTTTTAAAACCCCGCAGGCAGACTATTTTGTTGTCTTTTTAAAACCCAGGAGAATATTTTTCCCGATTGATATGTGGTGCACATTATACTGCTGTTCTCTGTGACACATTAAGTTTTTTTTTGTCGGAGTTTGCGATGATAGTTTTTGTGGATGCCTGATCCCATCTGTGGTATTCGAGTAATTCTTATTAAAATTGTGTCACGTTTATTGTTTTGCTGCATCCATGTATGTAATGATTCCGAAACTAGGAATTATGAGTTAGGGTTTACATCAACATGTCAGAGATTAGGGTTCATATCAACAATGTAGGAGGGTGGACAACTGTTCGGCATTTGGCCCATGTTCCTATGATTAATGTTTGTTTTAGTATCCGTATTGTAAGAGAATTACTAAAAATGTCTAGTTGCAGTCTCTTTTTACAAGTACTTGTGGACGTAGGGCAAAATGTTTCTTAAGTTTGACTAGATAGAAAAGCATCTTTTCACTTCTTTTTTGTTCCTTTTGTTGTGTTTTATACTTTTTATTTTATTTTTGTTGTTTTAATTCCTTCTCTTACTGTCTAAAGGATTTGACTACTTTGTATCCCAGTGCTATGCATGTTAACAATAACTGTAAATACTTGTTTATATTTACATGAAATTCTTTGGAATGATCCATTATAGAGTATTGATAAACAATAAAATTACGTGGTCTTTATAAACTTTTTACAATGTGCATTTTGTATAGTATGTTGGACATATAGTATGCTAGATGTATGGTATGTTAGATTGTGTTAATAATTTTTTTATTTTAAAAAATAATTTGTCAAATTGTGAAGATAATAAAGTAAGCATCTTTCAAACTATATCCTAATATTATACAAAATGGTTAGAAAAGTTAATATTTTTTATTTAATATTAAAATGCTTAATAAATCTAGAAAGATTCTAAAAAGATTTTAAATGAAAAACATTTAATATATTAAAAAAAAAATAATCATAGTGACACATAATGAAATAAATAATAAGCTATAAATAATGAAATTATAATAAAAGATCGTACATTTTAAACTAATAAATAATAAGGTATAAAATTAAGAAAAGATATTAGATAAGATGTTTATTTGATATATTTACATAGTTATTATATATTAATTATGCAGATTATTCATCTCTGTTAATTATTAAATTGGCTATAGTAAAGATTTGATATTATCAATGACACATATAATTCCTATAAAAATGCAATATAGATGCTAAAACTTTTCTTACAAGTTTCTTATTTTTAAGAAGTTGCATTAAAATCAACCTACAACCTTATACTTAAGCCATAAGTCTTATTTAATAGAAACTTATTTAAGACCTTCGTAGCTAATATATAAAAGTATCATGTGATCCTGCATCAAGTACCAAATCTTATTGAATGGATGTAATTTAATTTACTTTAGTGGATTTTTATCCACTTATCATTTTTTATAAGTTGATCTTATCAGTATCAACTAGGATTTGAAGAGTTAGGTGGAAAAACTTCTTTTACTTGATATTAATGTCAAGTCAACACTTGTGAGTTGTTTTGAGAGAAAAAAAACCTAATATTGTAAGATTTTGCTTGGCTATAGTGATTTAGCCATTTAGCAAAGTTTTAGGAATACAGTTATACTCTTGGATTCTTCTTTTGTAGTGTGAGAGATATATTGACTTAGTTGTCTTAAGATTCTCCTTCTTTTACTTGACGAGAGTTTTCTCTTCTTCAATTTATACTTCAATCCATATCAAAATTGATTGATAAAGGCTTTATCATTCCAATCGAAGTTGCAAGTAATATTTTGGAATTCAAGTAGCATATATGGTGGCTGACTGATATCATTATTATAAAGTTAAGTGCTTGGTCTCTGCTACTCTTTCTTCATCACTTTTTCCAAATATTGCCATAATCACTTCTAAAAATGAATTCAAATCATAAAGGAGTTGTAAATCTTTTTTTATTAAAGGTGCAAAGCAAGAGAGAACACTTCTTGATAAAAGTGCGCATATGAATCCAACTTGAATAAATCCATAAAGATATTGAAAGGAATGTTATAACAGGATATAGATAAGATAATTGTATAGATAGTTAGAACTATGGAAGTTTTTAGAATTGGGATTAGGTTAGTGGACCAGGTAGGATCTACCATGGAACAATCTAAAAAAAATTTAGGATAGTTATTTAGAAGGGATCCACCATAGAACCTTCTGAAAAAGAAATTTAAGGTAGTTATCTAGGTGGAATCTATAACTTAGGAACATTATAGAAAGTCTAGGGTGGTAGGACAAGATATAAGTAAGACTGGCTATAGCCTTTTGGAGCATCTAGTCAAGTATGGCTTCATATCCTTTCTCTTAGTAAAATTTGGTTTTGCATCTTTTCATTTAATTTATTTTTCAAGTCTTATTTTGTTTACTTTCATTCATTTTTATTCTGGTCTATTTTTTCTTATTTTGTAATGAAGCTTTATGTTGGTGTGGATAAGAAGGATCTTAGATTTTTGAGAGTCTAGTCTCGTTTCATTGGTATCAGAGCGAGTGTTAGACTATTTATTTTTAATAACATATCAATAGTCATCATCTAGTCCAAGGTTAGTTATTGTGATCATACTGGATACTATGTTGAGGCTACCATGAGCTATTCTTAAAAAGTCAATTAGGAGGTGAAAAGGCATTACAATAGTAGAGTCCAACAAAGAAATTATAATATAAGAAATATGGTGGAGCAATCTCAGATGGAGGCTCAAATACAACACCTTTTAGGCCAAATAGCTATTTTGCAAGAACAAATAGAAGCCTTGAGGACAAAAAAATTGACATCTATTAGATTGAAATTGAATAAGCCTAAAACATACCATGGGATTTCAAGACAAGAAGATGTATGTCAATGGTTCTTCAACATGTAACAATACGTCCAAATATTTGGAACAAATACCATTGAAGGAATTATATATGGAGTAAGCTATTTGAAAGATATGATAGCTATTTGGTGGCAACATTGAGTTCAAAGCTATGGAGTTGAAGGTGGATTTTTTGACTCGGAGGAATTTGAAACCAAGTTTAGGAATCAATTTCAGCCCATCAATACAAAGAAGATAACACACAATCAATTAGAAAATCTTACACAAGCTAGCTTGGTGTAAGATTATGTCTCCCAATTCAAGTTCTTATATCTCCAAATTAATAATATTTTGAAGGCGAAGATGATAGATCAATTCCTACAAGGTTTGAAACATGGAGTCGAGCAAGAAGTGGAGCTAAGGAATCTATGAATATTTGAAGAAATAATTAAGATGGCAAAGAAGGTGGATGCTATAGATTTTAGAAATTGTGGAGGACAACCTATAGTATGAAGTCTTATGCCGTTATCTAATACTATGGCACAACAACCAATGCCAATGGAGATTGATGCCATACAAAGATCATTGACACGACAAAGATGACAAATATTGGTGCAAAAGAGATTGTGTTTCTATTGTTGAGAGCCAAGCCATCAGATCAAAGGTTGTCCAAAATGTCAAAATTCAAGAACCAACAAAACAAGTTTATAGCCTCGAAACTCACCAAGTCTATATTGAGTCACAATAGGAAAATAGGACTCCTCAATAAAGGCATCGAAGACCAGTATTGAAGATAGCTACTGTCTCTCAGAGACAAATGGCATGGCCTTGGATAACTATAAAAAGACTCAACTAATGCATCTAATGGAACTACTAAGAGAACAACCATGTCAAGTATTTATAGATTGTGGCTCTATAGAAAATTGTATCTCGACTAAAATTGCTGACTGGCATGGAATTAAAACTAAAGCAATTAAGGGAAGAAGTATATACCTTGGAAATAACCAAGAGAATGTATTGAGTGAGGTGTGTGAAAAAAAAACCTTCAGATTGACAAATGCCTATGTCTTAAGAGAGAGATTCAAGGTGACAAAGCTAAAGTATGATATTATCTTTGATATACCATGGCTAAAGATAGAAAATAAGTAAGTTGATTGAATAGCAAGGATAATCTCTTTCAAAGATGGAAGAGGGCTAAGTGATCCTTTGCACTCCTTTATCAAGTAAAGAAGAAAGACAATTTGTAACTAAAGACTTACTCGTAGGGATAACTTTTATGAAAAAGCAAATATAGTATGAATAATCAATATATACGGTGGTTCAAAATCTTATGTCTATGGTGGAAAAGACAATTGAAGGAGTAGAATTGGCAGAGCAACTCAAACGGGAATATGAAGATGTCTCTTCAATTGACCTACTTAGTGGCGTATCTCATGATTGAGGTGTCTTCTTTCAAATAAAACTATCAAATTGACTAATTTATCACCTAACACCAAAAGAAATTGAAGAGCTATGGAAGACATTGAACAAACTGTGATAAAAAGGCCTCATTCAAAAAAACACATCACTATGGAAATCACATGTATCCTTTATACCCAAAAAAGATGGTAGATTTTGCCTTTGCATTGACTTCCATAAGTAGAACTTTGAAGCGGCTATTGGCAAACACCTATTGCATGAGAGGATGTAAAAAAGATGGCATTTTGTACAAGTTATGGATATTTTGAATGACTAGTTTTATCTTTTGGCCTCACCACTAGTCCAGCTTCTTTTATAGGTTAGATGAAGATATTGTTTCAAGATCTTTTGGACACGTATGTAGTTGTCTTTAATGATGATATCTTTATATATAATAAAATCTTTAAAGAGCATCAACAACATCTATGAAAAGTTCTCTATCAGCTACAAGTTAGTCACTTTTATTGTAAGCAATCAAAATATAAACTTTAGAAGTTGGAAGTCACTTTTTTGGGACATGAGGTATCCTCCAAAGGCACGCATATGGAGCAAGATAAGGTAAAAGTAGTGGAGGATTGGCC